CTCGCGTACCCGAGAATAGAAGTCCGGCGTCTTATCCAGCTGAGCTAAACAGGCGAGTTAAATACCTCAGCATAAAATAAATATATAAGGCACGCAAGTCTTGCTGACGGTGAGACTTGTTGAGACTGGTGCGCACAGTTTCTGCGCACCAAGATTCCTTGACGAGTTCCCGAAAATTTCAGAAACAGTTGCGGCCAGTGCCATGAACTTTACATGAGAAAGTAATGAAAAAGAGACTAATGGACTATTTATAGCTTTTTCTAATACAGTTCCCGAATTTCTTTCAAACATTCATTGATTACTATTGAATGTTCGTCGCTAGTTCAGAGCTGTTACCACGTATCCAAGAGTTAGGAAATAATTCCTGAAATATCTGGGAACTTTTTTTTTCCGTGTGGAAACAAAAATTCTGTACTGCTCCAGCACTAATTGTCGAGGCTCGGCTAGACTACGCCGAACAATCGTCTGAGTACTAAGCCAGTGGTGAACATCGGCACTACACTGGCATTTCCCATTGGGGTGTTTAAAAAGTTTTTTTTAAATCCATGAAGATTTGTGACCTATAGACTATTTTGAACCCCTTTTTTTATTTTGCCCCACTGTGCGGCATATTCATCAAGCTGGTAAATAGATCAAATACTTTCGAAAAAATTTGCAAAAATTGCAATTTGTACCTCTTATCACGTACTAGAAGAACCCAAAGTTTGTGAATTTTTAAAAAATTTGTATAATATGGGTCGTCCATAAAGCATGTGATACATATTTTCGGTAATCTAGACCCCCCTCCCCCCCTCATGATGCTTTTTCCATTAACAGTTAACATGGAGTGTAATATTTTGCTGACCCCCCCCACCCCCTAAAGTATCACATGCTTTATGGATGACCCCGAAGCTTGAAAATATTTTGAGTGATTTCCAGGAAAAATTACATGTAATTCCCATATAAAATTTCAGTCGATTAGAGGCACGTGTTAATATTGTTCGATTTGCTTCGAACTTTCAGGAAAATTTTTTTTGGGCAGTCATCGATTGCGTCCCGTGAGGGGAAGTAGCCTTCCCCCCACCATGCGGCCAGTAAGCGTCCGGTGGTTGGGAACCGAGCGCTGGAGTGACCCTCACAGCGGGGGCGCTCGGACCCTCAAACCATCATTAAGGAAAACTATTAATGACTTTTCCTATAAAAATATAAATTTGTTAAATAGTAACATTTTTAATTTTTCATTGACACATTTAAAATCCTTGCTTTCTCACGATTTCATACATATGTTGTTTACCAAAAAAAAGTTAAAATTAAAAAAATTTATTATTTTTTTCAGATACATAGAATAAAGTTAACTCTACCAAAAACCTTACCTATTATCAAATAATTATTTACTGTATCACTTAGGTTTTATCTAAATCAATTTAATGCTATTTGACCCAATAATTGCATCATTTGAAGCAAATACCATTTAACTTAATTTTTAAATTTTAACTTTTTTTTGGTAAACAACATATGTATGAAATCGTGAGAAAGTAAGGAATTTAAATGTGTCAAAGAAAAATTAAAAATGTTACTATTTAACAAATTTATATTTTTATAGAAAAAGTCATTAACAGTTTTCCTTAATGAGGGTTTGAGGGTCCGAGCGCCCCCGCTGCGAGGGTTGCTCGGGACTCAGTTTCGACTTGATGTGCCGCATGGTGGGGGAAGGCTACTTCCCCTCACAGGACGCAATCGACAATCGCCCTTTTTTTTATACCTTGATTAATTTTTTGGGTTGAGACCAAAAATTTGGAAACATCGCCCAATTAAAAACCACCCTACTATATATACCCAAGTAGAAATGTAATACTGGCATAGTACTGATCTTGTACTGACTGCCAGTATTGCAGTACTGACTCCAGTACTAAGTCAGTACTGGGAAAACCCTGGCTGGTAACGCTGTCCAGTACTGATTTTTACCGGCGGTCAGTATAAGCTCCTTATTTAATTATTAAAGCATGGGGAGTAATTTATTGAATACTAATAATTATTATTAGTATTAATTATTATTAATTAATTATTAGAATTCCTTTTATTAAAATAAGTTTTAAAAAAATATTTTTCTTATTTTTTCATTATTTATTTAAATCTTATTTATTTAAATTAATGACTAAATTATTATTATTACTGGTTATTAATTATTTAAACTTATACTTTATGTAACACTGTTAAGAATTATACACAAAACACTTAAAACTAAGACGGAAAAATATCGCACGCACGGGGGACCGAACCCTAGACCTCGAGGACGCAAGTCGAATACACATACCGCATAGCCACGCAAGCTCGGGAGTTATCTCGCATAAACTTCCTTTTGAATTGTGGGACCGATATATACAGTGCTTTAATAATAAATCCACTGCATATTATATTTATTTCAAGAAAAATTATTATACATATATCTTTATATTCATTTTATCAAGTCATTATGTAGTAATTAATAGATACATCATAATAATATGGTAAAAATTATTAATATAATTATTTATTTATTATTTATAATCTAATTATTTATTAAAATAATAATAAAAAAAAATTTATTTAAGAAAAATTTTTGTTAAATAAATAAATAAAAATATATATACAGCTTTAAAAAATAAAATGTTTGATATTATTGTTGATGAATAATGTTTTTACAAATCTTTGCAAATATTTTAATTGTTAATAAATCAAACGATGTTTAATGTTTAATTACATTATAACAAATTTTGATTGTTTTTTTTAACTCCTTCGCAGTACTGATTTAGTGTTAAGCCAATTTTCTGCCAGTACTGATTTTAGAACTTTTCTAACTCCGACATAGTACTGATTCGGTTTTGGAGTCAGTATACTCCCAGTACTGATCGGGTTCCGAAAGTCAGTACCGACGGTCAGTACTGAGTCAGTACCATGTCGGTGTTTAACTCCGTCCTAACTCCGGACATTTCTACTTGGGTAGATACTACAGTTTGTAGTAACTAATCGGAAACTAACTAATCGGTAGCTACTTAATTACCAGTAACTATACTCTCAATATCAACTGCTTCTAACACCACTTAAATCTAATGTTATCTGTAAAAAACAATATAGTACCGCTGTGATTTTAAATCACTGTCTTTTCAACAACCGCAACATTATCAAAGAGGGTACATTAAAATAAAATAATTAAACCCGTGAAAAGAATAGCAAAAATTTAACATCAAACTGTGTAATGAATCGGTCTTGAGTCTTAATTCACTTTACACCCCTCCCCAATGGGAAATTTACAACTGGCGGAGTACTGCGCCAGCACTGGCAGTACTGGCAGCTACGCTGACAGACAGCACTGGCATAACTCTGGGATGATAACGCTGTCTAACGCTGGCGAAGTACTGCCTGCCAGTGCTGCCAGGCAGTGCTGGCGCAGCACTGGACCAGTGCTGGCTGAGAATATTGCCGCAATAAATGCCGTATTGTTATTAATTAGTCGTAAATTCATCATTATAAATAATTTAACAACAAAATGGTAAATAATATTTATAAATAGTTATTATTCATAAAATATTTCTCTTCTTAAAGAAATTGTATTAAAGATGGAGACTAACAATGGATATAGTAAATGAAGTAAAAAAAAATTGTTTATAACATTTAAAAATTAAATAATAAACAATTACAGTAAGTGTGCATTAGATTTTCATATTTTAGTACCTAACGATTGGAATCTAGAAATATCGCAAACCTATGAAAATAAACAAAATTGCTGACGAGGGGAATCGAACCTACGACCTACGGACTAACAGACTAACGCTCTAACCACTATGCTAACGACACATGTGTACAGTAAAGTATTAACATCTCAGTATCATTCAGACATATACAATTATTGAGTCAAAGATGAGAAAAAAATAGGGATACGTTAGAAATAATAAATTGAAATAAAATAAATTAAACTAAATTTTTAATAATTAAATTAAATTACTTTACTTATTGCATTTAACATTTTACGTAATTCTTTAATTACGTGGTAATTTTTTATTAATTTTTTATTCATAGTAAGAAGTATAATAGTATTTTAATAGGAACCAAATTATTATTGAGATTAAAGTTTAAATTTTGTTTATAATTTTAATTTGTTTTAATAATTTATTATTTACAAAATTAGACTATTGTGTTAAATTGTTATTATTAAATTTAATAAGAATAAAAAATGAACAACTGAAAAGTAAAATATTAATTCATAAACTTTTTTTATAATTTTTTTCAAGTTTATGTCAAAAAAGCAATGTTGGCAAAGAGCGTTGTGAACAATTTTTCTATACTCAGCCAGCACTTGCCGCCGTGGCTTGTCCAAGCTTTGGCGAAACAAAAATTCTGTACTGCGCCAGCACTAATTGTCGAGGCTCGGCTAGACTACGCCGAACAATCGTCTGAGTACTAAGCCAGTGGTGAACATCGGCACTACACTGGCATTTCCCATTGGGTCTCTCTCTCTCTCTCTCTCTCTCTTGTCTTTAAAGTGACCCCGGGGTTGTGAAAACGAATCCTCTTTAATCCCCTGATAACGGTCTCTAATATTCCCTTAATTAAAATCTTGTGAGGCGAGAGAGTATATAGGCATCGGGCGTTGAAACCTAATATGAAGGAAAATAAACGTGACTTGATGGTGGAAAAAGGCAAATAAAAAATAATAAACAAAAAAGGTACAAAACAACAAGAAAAAACGAAAAGTCAATCTGTAGAATTAATTGAAGTCAATTCGTACGGGAAGATTCATGCTCATCGGTGCGCAGTGCTTGAATAGTATAGTTACCAGCGAATACCGACTATTGCATACCTATATATATATACATATGTATATACACATGGGGTAAAATGCACAAGGGATATAATATATATCCCCTCTTGGGAACCATTTTCTGATTCCCTCCCCTCTCCCCCACTCTTTTTCTTCCGTCCTTTAGACCCCTTGTTTTTCTCTCTGAGCCATGTATACTTGAAGCTTCCAGCTCTCCTCGATCAGGGCCATGGTGGGGCCCCCTTTAGTAATGACGCATGGCTCATCGTGTAGTTCATACTTGCTCGGTCCGTCCGTCCGTGAGCACGAGCATTCACCACTCTCTCTCTTTCTCTCTTTTTCTTTCCTCTCCTCCTTGGCTCATTCAAGAAAAACGAATAACATAAGGAAACGCGTGCCTCATATATACTCGTACATCAATGTGCCGCGTTACTCTCGCAGTGTTGCATGGAGGAGTTTATCTTTTGTATTCCCGGAAAACAGTACAGTAAACACAATAATGTGCTTTATAATTTATTGTGACAATAAAGTTTTGTGAAATGGAGAATTTTCTAAAAAATAAGAAGAAGAGAGGTGTAAAAGTGTTGTGTGTTGGCTAGAAAAGAATTGTACGTTTTTTGCTTGACATTGATGACATCTTACTGTGATTTATTTTGCCATGCAGTTTGTGTAAATGTTCATCTTGATAAGAGCATTGATGACGTGACTTTTGTAAAGGAGTTCAGTGTTCTGCCAACAATTTTTTGATAAGATTTTTTTCGTTTAATTACAAGAGGCTGGAGATAAAATGTTGTGTTACGAAGATTTTTATCTTGATTTATGTCCGGTTTGTTAATGTTTTGTTTTCTCTGTGCTTGCATGAAATCAGGAGAAGTCATTTTGTCAAGTTTGGAAACATTTGTTTTCTTTAACGGGAAGTGATTTTTGACAGAAGTGATTTTTGGTGTTAGAAGTGAAGTGTCTCTGTACATGTGGTAAAAGTTGTAGTAGAGGAAGAAGATATTGAAGTTGAAAGAAGAATAGTAGAGGAAAGGAGTAACACTGGTTGAAAATAGTTATCAGTTGCAGAACAAGTAGTTAAAGAAGAAAAAAAATAATTAAAGAACAATTAGTTACAGAACAAGTAGTTACAGATTAAGTAGTAAACGAAGCAAAAAGAATAATTAAAGGACAATTTGTTGAAAAATTATTAACAGCAGGAATACTTCAAGAAATCTGTTCACCTACTTTGACAAGCAGAAGAAGAATAGATCAAAAATAATTTAAAGAACAGATCGAAAAAATTTGAAGAACAGATTGAAAAGGATTTAAAGAGCAGATTGAAAATAGTTGAAGAAGAATTTATTCAAAAATCATTAGTAGCGAATATTTGGAAAAAACATCCAAAACGAGGAATAGACAAGAAAAGAAATTACAGAAAAAAAGTTTGTTTTTAAAGAGTAACAACTTTATGAAGAAAAAGTATAAGCAGCTTCTGTAGAATAACAACTTCCCTAAGAAGCAAATACAACTTTCACAAAAAGTATCATAGAACCCCACAAAGGACATCATTACTTTATCGATGCTGTTCTCGATGCATTGGACAATTTTGCCACTTACAAATTTTTAATTGCAAACCCCCAAGTATTGTGAAGTTTTCCTTCTTCTGCAATTAATGCTCTATAAAAATTACTCGAAAGAATTGATACAAAGAAAGAAACAATAGTACAAAATTTCTTTCGAAAGAATTAATAGAAAGAAAAAAGAAAGAAAGAAACAATAGAGAAAAATATTATTTAAAAGAATTAACAGAAAGAAAGCAGAGTTAATTACTGAAAGGAAAATAGAGGAATTATTTCCGCAAGCGAAGAATAAAGTACAACAGGGGATAATTGTGAATTATGGGAAAAAGAGGGTAATCGATTTATGGGGATACTCTATCGACCCTGAGAGCAGAATCGTGTCATGCTAAGTGAACATTGTCGGAGAAACACATGGTGATCATTGTTGGGAGATAAGAGTTATCGGAAGAAGAGGTCGAATGAACTTATTGTTCGACGATTCGTGGGTGAAGGACCAACGGTGATAAGGGGGAGAGAATCAAGCGGATGGTGCGTCGTTCTTGATAGCAAAAGCTTGTTTAGACAATTTTGTGGTGTTTATGTTGTTATTGTTGTTGTTGTTTTCGTGGTCGTCGTACTTATGCTCGTCTGGATGCCAGTTTTAGAGGGTGGAATTGCTAAGAAGCGAGGCAGTCGCAAAATGCGGATGCGACTTTGCACCAATTCCAAAGAATCCTACACGTTGCTCTCCAAAAAACGGTAATTTTTACATTTCTATTTTTGTTTTGAAAATATTTATAAAAACGTATTTTTTTATTTTGAAAATCATTTATACTTATCGTTAAGCTTTATAACACTTACTGTGGGGTATTTTTTGTACTATATTGCTGCTTTTCGTCAATTTAGTTTTCGGTATTTAACGCACTGTTGAATGATTGACACTTACCGTGGGTCCTTTTTGTGTTCTTGACACATACCGTCAATAATTTGATTTTCGTTGCTCTGCAGACAGATGGTATATTAAGATTGTCATTTCCCGAGGTCCTTTTCGTACTCTTGATACTTACCGTCAATTTTTAACGCTTACCGCAGGGACCTTTTAGTACTCTTGTTGCTTGTCTTCTGCACTTTTGATACTTACCGTCTATTTACTTTGTGCTGCTACCAAAAAATATTTTGTTTAATTAACTGTGTCATCATAGACTTACCGTCAATTTAGTTTCTGCTGATACCAAAAAATATTTAGTTTAAATGATGGCAAGTATCATTGGAGATACCGTCAATTTAGTTTCTGCTGCTACTAAAAAATATTTAGTTTGATTGACGGTGAGTGTCATCGGATACTTATCGTCAATTAAACTAAATATTTTTTGGTAACGTTTTTAAGTTGTTTTAAAGTAAAAAACTCCAACTTTTATTATAATATTATTACCGCAGGTACTTACCGTCGATTATTAAATTTGTCGTTTTTATTGGCGGTATTTGTAGCAACAAATAAATTGACAGTAAATATCAAAATTAAAAAAGGAAAAAATATTTTGGGATCTCACTTACACACTGAAACCATCAGTTTCAAGTATACGATTACTAAAACTTACCATGTTTCCTAATTACCGTTGATTGTATAGCAAAAATTAAGTCTAACTTCGATAATAATTGAACCGCCGGCGACCAAATAGACTTACGCGTGACTTTCGTTGGCCCCGCGTTCAGCGAGTCTCCGCTATTCGAGGGGCCAATGAAAACCTTGTGTAATTTTTACTAAACAGTAGCGTATATTAACATTTGACTACACAGGAAAAAAAAAGTCTGACTCCGTTTACACCTTAAATTCAGCCCATGTATTTCACATAAGTCTGTCCTTGTCTAACGGGGCTGACTCCGTTTACACCTTAAATTCAGCCTCAAAAAGAGGCTGAAAGTAAGACTTTTTTTTTAGTGTGTAGAAGTGTCAATTTGAAACTGATAATCCATTATTATTAATTTATTAAGAAAGCATAGACAGTTTAATACGTTTTAATGTGAGTATAGATGGTTGCGGGCTAATGACTGTGGTTACCATAATTGATGTAAATTGTTAATGATGATATAAGTGGCGGATTACGCTTATACTACTTCTCTATCTCTAAATGTCATCACTGGTTCTAAAAGGCAGTCTACATGTTTTATACTTGGACTTTCATTAATTAAGATATCGACACCGCGAACTTTCTGATTCGCATTCCTCGCACACACAGCAATATATATATAAATTAATTTAATTCGTATTTTGCGATGAGGGGGGATGGAAATATTGAGAATTTTAAATGGGCTCTCGCTTTGAATTAATTTATGGTTTTGTATGTATATATGTATATTTACAATATCCCCATAGGCATTCATATGATCGTGGCTAATGGAAAATATGCGTTCCCCAAAGGGTCTATGTGGCTTTTTTATGTATTTTTTTTATTTCATTTTCAAGCCTCGGACTTTTTCGCGTTTTTTCGACTATTTTTAAAAAGGCGCCTTTTTTCGACTCATTTTCAAAATTTGACTTTTTTTACCCCTTAAAGTCGGTCCAAAACTTGGAATTTTCTTTTTTTTTCTTAATTTTGAATATTTTTCTTTAAATTTTATCAGGCATCTCACTCATCTACTAAAACCTACTTTTTTACGTTATGCTACTATTTTTGTTTTTTTAGAATTTTCACTACTAGGGGAGACCGAGGAGGAAAGAAACAAAAATCAGTTTTGTTGTTGTAGCGTTCAAACTATTTAACGAATAATTTTTGTTGACACCTTAATTAAAAGCTTGGACTTTCACCTGTTAAATAAAATTTGAATTAGACATTTAGATTAAATAACCAGTTCACAGTTTGACTTTTTCACGACCTTTGCATTTGTTACTTTCCTCCTAACCCCCGAGGAGGAAAGTAACAGCACATAGGAGGAAAGTAACGTTATAGAATTATGTATGGCTAATTTTACAATTTAAAGACTATTATTATTTAAAAATATTTTTATTATGAACTTAGAAAAATACAAAGATACTTAGAGTACAAATTGTACACGTTTGGCACAAATTTAATACATATTTAACACATTATGGTACATTAGTGTCTTCTAGATATTATCTTCTTATCCATATCATAGATAAAGCATTTAATTTCAAAAGTTTCGTACGTCCAATATTAAATTATTAAAATGTGTAACAAAAATACTAAGTCTTCAGTTTAAGTTAAATTATTAATAATTAATAATAAAGTAATAGCTTTCACTACTTCAGGAGCAACAACACTCTAGAGCAGACATAGAGACTAATTGTTGATAATTTGTGTTGGGAAAATGAAAAAAGAAATAGGATTTCTTTTTGGATGTTTTGTTAAATACATATTGAAATATAAAAAGAAATTTATTTAAAATTTTATAACAAAATGACCGCGATAAATTTCATAGTCAAAATCGACTATTTTCTTATGACCTTTTGGTCATAAGAAAAAAAATGTCCTGACAAAGAAAGAAATTTAATGATCTATATAATATAAACTTTGGGCTTCGTCCATAAATTACGTCACACGTTTTTAGCCCATTTTTGACCCCCTCCCCTCTTTGTCACACTACGTAACATCTGAAGGAACCCCTTCCCTCTAAATTACGTCACAATTCGTAAACCCCCCTTTAAAAAATTTGACTTTTTTTGAAAATTTGGGGGGTAGAGGGGGGGGGGCAATTTTACCAATTTTGCTAACACCGCCTACTTTGTGAATTTTTTCTGAACATACTTGCAATAATTTATTTTTAAATAAAACGGACCGATTTTTGGGAAATTGAAAATTAAATATTATTTATCAAAAATTAGGGTAAATTTTTAAAATATAAAAAAATAAAATTCACCATTGGAAAAGAGACGAAAAAACCTTTCAGAAACATATTCTAAAAAAAATTTTCCATTAAAAGTATGTTCAGAAAAAATTCACAAAGTAGCCGGTGTTATCAAAATTCGTAAAATTGGCTCCAAATTTTCGAAAAAGTCAAAAATATTTTTTGGTTCATTTCTACTTGATAGAACAACAAATTCCCCGAGTTTCAATTTTTTTCAAGAAGTTGAAATTTCAACTTAGGATATTTCACGTAAAATGCCTCATAATAATTAGTACACTTTTTAATATTTTAAAAACAAGAAATATATTTGATATTTTTATTTATTACAATTTTCTCATTATAATAAATAGACAAAAGTGTGACATAACAAAATAAAAAATCCCCACTCCCCCTTTTGTCACAATTAGTCATACATTTTCATAGACCCCCTCCCCCCTAAAAAGTGTGACGTGATTTATGGACGAAGCCTTGCGGTAGCACATATAAGATATTTTTATATCAATTCTTGTAAAAATTGCGCACTTTTTGAGTAAAATAATCGATTTTTTGCCAAAAAATAAACAGTAAATTCTTTATAAAATAATAAAGTTTACATCTTGATTTTTCAACTTGAAAGTTGAAAAATCTATATGTACACACTAAAAAAAAAGTTTTACTTTCAGCCTCTTTTTGAGGCTGAATTTATGATGTAAACGGAGTCAGCCCCGTTAAACAAGGACAGACTTATGTGAAATACATGGGCTGAATTTAAGGTGTAAACGGAGTCAGACTTTTTTTTTCCTGTGTACTTCCAAATTTTATAGTAAACAGATTATAAAATTTCTTTGTTTTTTGTTCTAGGACTTAAACTTTTCAAAAAAGTATTCTGGCCGTAAAAAAATAGTCGATTTTGAACATAAAAATTTACCGCCGCCATTTTGTTATATAATGTAAACAAAAAGTTTTTTTTTCATATTTCAATAAGTATTTAATAAACCTTCCAAAAAGAAATCCTATTCCATTTTTCATTTTCTCAAAACAAATTATCAAATATATAGGTCTCTTTTTCTGCCTCTATAGAGTGTGTTACCCCTTAAAAAAAGTAGCTAAATTTTTCATGTTTCATATTTTTGGCATTAAACAAAATAAAAAATAAAACATTAATCTTTTAAAACATGAAAATAACTTTATCTATAGTTTAAAAGCAAAAATTAACAATTATGACAAACATAAAATAAAACAAAATATGAACACAAAATAAAAATGTTTTCTGGTTCAATAAATCATTTTTAAGTTATGTTAATATGTCAAAACGAAAGTCAATTTACTTATAATGCATTATTTTTAACGAAAGGAATTTAATCTGTAACTTTAAATATGATTTACTTCACTCATTGTAGAAATTTAACCATGGCCCAAATCGGGGCCAGATCTTATGATCATTGTGTAGGCCATAACATGGCTTGAAACACCTTCCCAGATCGGGCCCAAGTCTGGCCAGACTTGGTGTTTCATGCCATGTTATGGCCTAGATATGGCAATTTCTACACGGGAATTTCATAAAATATGCACAATATTGAAACGAGGAGGAAAGTAACAACGTGTTACTTTCCTCCTCACTCTCTTTTTCAACAAAAAAGTTAAAATTACACAAAAGTATTACACGTAATTTAAAAATACACTGTTACAACTTAAAGACAGATAATTAAGCTAGAAAAAAACGAAATGCACATTTTATAAAACTGTGTAATTAAAAAAATATGAGGTTTTGAAAATTTAAACGAAAACTTACTTTTGACGTATTTTTGTAACGTCATATCACTAGCGGACCTAACCTAACCGGAAATGCTCTTGCACACTATGGAGAAGTTGTAGGGGGCTCTACTGATTAAAAAAAAATATTAATTTTGTATATC